CACAAGCATCCACTCTACCTCGTGATAGGATTCATACTTGGATGATGCCTATATCTGGCATCACATGGACGGTTCGGCTGCTCGCGGAGGCGACCAGTTGTCATTGACATTGTCCGCCATTGTCCTCACTTGGCTGGTGAGCGGCGTTCATTGAGCGCACTTCGCACTTTGAACACAAGGAATGTGGTTGAATAGCATCTTACTGGGATGACTCGCAATCATTTGTGCACCTCTGTGGGCTCGTCATGTCAAGGAATAGTCGTGCCTGTTGAAGTAGAGATGATCCCACCACTTACATTCTCTTGGACCAAACTAGGTTAAATTGCCCTCATTTTATCCGAGACTAAAACCCTTCCTCTCGAAATTACCGGAGAACGCCACTCTGTTTTCATGCAAACACATGCCTGATCGCAGCTTCTCATCCAATACTCGTTATTTCAACTTATCCCGCCCTGCCGACTTCAACAGCCATCCTCACACAGTTGAGGATTGCACGTCAAGATGCAGATAATCAGAAACTAGCGGGTAGCAGAGGGTGGGCAAGATGAGCCAGTACGCTCACCAGCGACGGACAGGTGATAAACTGAAGTATCAATGAGCCCCACATTAACAGTTAGGACCAGCAGCAACAACATCACACGAAATACACAGGCTCAAGAGTACCTGGCTTCGTGGGCGAGTGCGTCATGGTCGAGTGATTGCACCACTCTACACTCCACAAGCTTCGTGTCGGATAACGATCAAAATTCGCCCATTTGGGGTGGCCCTGATAACAGTGAATCCTGAAAATGGTGAACCGGAAAAAATATCACAATAGGACTATAAACAGTGAAGACACTGGCGCGCGCCCCCGGCGCGCGTTCCGAAAATCGTTTCACGATGATACATGTTTTGTAACGTGCAACTCGTGCGATCGTTAGGTTTAATTCGAGAGGAGGCTGGTTCACTTACACGTATGGTGGATATGAGAAACATTCATTTCTAGCATGCGTGTTCCTTGTGATATGCTTGATGTTCACACCAATTGTCGTAGCTAGTTGTAGGTCGTTGGTGTAGATTCGATGTTCTGTATGCGATTTGAATCAAATCATTTGCTCGAGCTTACCTTGTCATTTTTCGAGTTCAGGAAAGTCTCCCTGCAATCTGGTTTGTGTATCGCATGATCTGGAGTTCACGCTCGATATAAGAATACAACTCGCAACACAACTGAAGCTGACTTCATGAACGAAAATCAGATAAGCAGCACCCTTCACAGAGAACACGTCACAAGGTCGAAATACTTCACCCAAAACCGCCGTTGCGAGGAGTCTTCAGCTTGATCTTGCGACGCGATGATCGACAGCAGAATGGCTAGGAGTTAGGCCTCATCTCATAAGACCACAAATCGAAGATAGAAGCGTCCCGCATCGGGCCGAAGCTGAAGACAGGAGTGCGATACAATAAACTTTCCCCAAGGATATCCATGACTATACCATAGTACTCTTGAAAATTGATTGGTTACAAAACAACAAGCGAACGATTCTGGTAGCAACGTAATCGCACAGATATCACACCGCTAATCAACATAGACTTCCCCTTCTATCGCTCCGGTTCTCCGGCGCATCCTAATCATTATAGTACCAGTATCTTCATCGCAACAGTTGATGAGCTGCGGCAGCTTCTCCCTCTGGAGAAAGGAGTCAGTAGGTTACGATCGAAGTAGCTTAAGCTCATATCTCTAGATACAGTCCATAGAGTCTCCCAGCCGGCATTATAACCATCCAAGTGCAGGCGATATACGTGAGTCAAGAAGTAACCCTCATCCTCTATAGCGCTATCCTCACTATGCACACTCATCGCGGAATTATGACATACATCTAATGCATGTTCACCAATCAAAGCTACTTCCTGGTACGTTCGAGGCACCGTGGTACAGTATATTGGAGAATCCTCACTCTCTTCGTCGGCTGCGTCAAGAAATGCGTACCACACATGCCGGCGATCACGGAATTTGGTGAATAGTGAACACTGTCCATTGGTGAGCATAGTATGAACAGGGAAATATTGTAGGAAATTCATCGATGCGTCAGGATTATAAAAGTAGAAACAACCTCTACCGTTCTTGGTGGAAGCATAATCCCTCAAACTGGTACTACCATTCAAGGAGCTCCCCATAATGCGTCCAGCGACGGGGAGCCAATCGCTAGTAGCCGCTACTAGTAGCGTGCAAAGCGAGTGGTAGCAGCACGAAAACTCATAGATATCATCCGCAGGTCATCTGGGATGCTCACCGCCCTCACCCAAAACAGTAACAACAACAAACGACGATGATGATCAGTGATCATTGATCACTCATGAGCCAGGGTCTGGAATTATGTGACATTTTAAAAAGTTGAACTACACTATGAGCATATGGTCGAATACAAAGTAGATTGCGCGTGTTAAAGTTGATCTAGCGGCTACGGGCGGATTCCATGTGTTTATGCTACGCTAAAAATGGGGGCTAACTTTAATAGATTTCTATGCCGTGCACCAATGCACTTACGCACAAATAAGACGACGCTTAAACGCGGTAACCCCGCATCTATGTCCAGTCCGAGTCCGATCCCACTTCGCGCACGTGTCATGTAGCCTTTCTCGAGCAAGCTCAACACTCGAAAACTCCACAGCCAAAGAGGGAGTAGTGATTTAAAGTTAGATAGTCTCAGGAGAGAGTGGTACAAAAACCAAAGATATTCACCACATGAAGGCGGGCGAGTTTGTCTTCACCGTTATTAGGCTTTCACCATTTTTAGTGGGTCAATATTTAGTACCAATATCTCGTGTAGAATGTCACAGTTGCCCGTAATACTTACGTAATGCCTACTTGAGGGTTTAACTTCTGGGTATTGTTGAGTCGTCAATACGTACAATCGTACCAAACCATGAGACACAACTGATACGATGCAAAAAGGGAGAGGATACTCGAAGATGGGACTCACTTCAACAGTTATCTCATCTGATTCAATCGCGACGTGCAAGAGCAATCATGCTTTTGGTATTCACCATTGATCATAACTCGCGCTGTCTTCGGAGTGAATGATATATCTCACTAGAGTGCTATCACGCTTTGACCCGATACTAGGTGACTCACTTGAAGTGAGACACAAAGTGTGACATCTTTGATAGATAAGATACTTAGTGAGTGCACAGGGCATGAACATGTTCTGGAGCATAAGATACTTTCCCCGTACTTTCCCCGATATTTTTCCTGAACCACTTCTCGTACTCGGGAGCCATCACCTTCGCAACTTGCTCGACGACAGAGAGTCCAGAGGCTCGCACGGCAAGTCCGTAAGGAGGAGATCTCTGCAACCCTCTTTCTATCAACGCTATCCAGCGTCTTAGCACTTCACAGCAATGTGAATTGGAAACCATCTGTAGTAGTCCCATTTCTACTATGTCCATATGTGCATTGGCAGCCTTGGATACCTTCTCGAGCTTCTGGACGAGTCTCTTCTTCTCGCGAGAGTGAGCTTTCGCCCGCCGGCCTCCACGGCGAGGTTCTTCAATCACTGGAGAGGCAGAGAGAGAGGACATGCCTGCTTGCTGGAGGTAAATGTCAGTGCGTTCTCCTCGCGCCGCCAACCCGGCTGAAAGAGACACGAAGTATTCCATTTCATGTAGTCCATAATTTAGAGTCTATATTATAGACTCGGTCAGCAAGTCTCAGTGATGTTACGTCACGCTACTACATGGCGGTGGCGGACGACCATTCGGAGCGAACTGCAGGCCAACATATTTTGTCCAAATAAATCGCTCAACCGCCCGGATACCTAAGAACGGCGATCCGTGGAGATTCTTAGGTGATTTCGACAGAGCCGGATCTCGGCCGACGAACCATACCGTCCTCAAGTTTCGGCTTCCGAAAGCTCTCAGGTAGATTCTGTTCATAGTAGCTGTTCGCTATGTTGTTTCCAACGTGAGTCATGATGAGAATCCACCTGCGAAGTATAAGCGATGTCCATCAAGATGGGGAAGCGCGCGAAACTTCGACGGTGAAAGATTCAGGCCGCCAATTACGTACGTGTTCTGCCATGAATCCAAAACTAGGCTCTGGACTATGGATACATTGACTCCGAGACGGTTATGGATACTGCTGCAATCGCGGCAAAGGAAGACGCCCAAGTTGACGCTTGCCCAGTGGGGGCTGTCCCGGCCGCAATCTACTCTCACAAAAACATCAAGCCCGACACACACAATGCTCTTCTACCAGCGCAATGTCGATTTCCTGGCCTTGCCAGTAAGTCATCGAGCTCCGGAAGACAACTGGCGCGATGGGGTTCCGCACTACTCGATGACATTTTAGGAGAAAAGCCTAGCTCAACCTACTGGAAGCGAGCTCTATGGGATAGCATAACTTGATCCATTGTCTACACATCGGGCTCCCCTGTGAGGGCGGCCCTGGCCGATGCTAACTACTACTCGAACTCGAACAGCTAGAGGGTTTAAGCTCCATGACGCAGAAAAAGCGAGTGAAGCCATTGAACACCCAAACACAGTGAGCTACATGTTCGAACTAACATGCATAAAGACAGCTCTGATGGAAAATCTTCATTCTTCACTCTGCTTCTTGCCACGTAGATGCATCGAGCGATAATTTATCCTCTCACGGCGACGATCCTAAGGTGTAGGGCGATTCTCGATCTGGCGCACGTGGAGCCAACCTGCAAACTATTTGGAGCTCTGAGTGACTCGTACCAGCTCGAATAGGTCCCTGATAGTCTGTTTCTCTCGTAGTTCGTTGCTAAGGCGTAGGCGCGAAATTGTGGCGAGCGAGAATTTTTTTGTGGCAGCAGAGGGAAAATTGTGGCAGAAGGGAAAGAATTAGTTGCAGGAATAAGGATAAAGGAATACGTGCGGATTAATTTCGTGGCGCGTGACAGAATTATCGGTTGGGCTAAGGTTCGATCCCTGCCAGAATCTTATTCCTAGTCGATGTGTTCGAGAGTAACTCTCGAGCCGCTTCAGTAGCTTACTGTAGCAGTTGCTGTCCTTGAGGGGTATCCTAATGTCGAACGTACAAGATACAGAAGAGGTCAAGTACGAGCCTTTCGACCCTGCCGAGTTGGTCTTATCGACTGATGCGGAGGAAGGGACGGCTAATAGCAACATCCCTCGAGCTAAATTCATTGTAATAACTCCGACCCCTTCTCCCTCAGTAGGGCCTGCAAGCATCGAGCGTTTTACAGGGCTCTCTGATCGACTGATTTAACCTGTTGATAAACGTTCCACGCCTTTGTATAGTTTACCGCGACAGTTGGTTTGATTTTACTCTCTCCTTGGTGGAACTGTCAAGCCTGTATAAATTGCCCTTTTCTCAATATTGACCTCTTGCTAGTGAGCAGCTCATTCTAAGACTCTGTCGACCTTTTTGAATAACATCTTTTTTCCTTTAAAAGCTACTCGTGAGAAATTTTCGTATTTTTTGCAATTTCTGGGAGAAAGTTGTTTGATTTTATTTTTTGGTATCATCGTTCATATCGTCGTGACCAGTGTTTTTAGTTTTGGTTATAATGTTCGAACGATTTCTCCTTTGACAATATACGTTTTGAATTTTACTAGTATGTATTTAAGGCGGGCATAATTGAAGCGAAGATACTCTTTTCCGATATGTTTAGGAGAATGTGGAGATTTTCGTCGGCAAGCGAGACCCCATGGCTGTTCTAGGCGGCCTTAGGGAACTTCTCAGCAAGTAGTAGTGGGGTAAAGTAGTCACGCGCCACGAAATTATTCCAGTAGTAAAGAGCTGAAAGTGAAGCCGTGCTTAGTTCACCGTTGTTGAGTAATTTTATGGCGCGCGCAGGTATCAGTATATGAACGAGCAGCTGATGTCGCAACGTCGCTCGATCAAGAGGAAGTTGCCTGATATCAAACAGGCGAAGGAAACTGTAACGTATTTGACAAAACAGAAGGAAAGCGGTGTGGGAGAGTAATGGTGATTTGAGAAAGTTATGGTATGGCACGCATGCGCAAATGTAGGTATAGATGTCGCTTCCCGCTTACTGATAACGCTCATGCCAGTGCTAGAGTGAACCCACAGGTAGGATGGGTGAATTATAGAGATCTCGATCCTATATAAGGACATTGACTGTGTCTGATCGGGTAGCAGTTAGTGAGCCCTCGAGTTGGAGAAATCCGAAGTTTTCGTGTGTCGCATACTAGTATGATAAGCAGCAATGATGAAGCGAGAAGAGTGCACTGGAAATTGCCGAGGAATTCTGAGAAATGTGTTTTGGCTATGGCTGGAATTGGTATGACTGTTGTAGTGTAAAGAGTATAATTCCGCGCGTGTGGCGATGATGGTTTTCGGAGAGGTGAAAGGATGGTGTAGGGGAGGGTTGCATTGTTCAGGAGATAGACTCGGTGTGTTTGTGGTTGGGAGCTAACATTCTCTTGGAGTATAAGTTGGATGAAGCAAGTGAGTGGAGTAGGGAGTGGTTCACGTTTATCATTCCGACATCCCTGGTTCGATCCCCAGGAAAGGCGTTCCTTCCTATAATAAGACGCCGGAAATTGCAGAAACAACTTGATAAAATAATTTTCGTTCATAATTATTCTCGACTCGTTAAGCTCTGTTTACCACTTATCGCAGAAGAGAAAACTCATTTTGCTATTTTTGAGGATGTTGCTCTCAGCGGGGCTGTTGAATGACAACGAAGAGAGCGCACGGAAGAGCTTGGGTGATTTAGAGCAGGGAATTGCGGTTGTTCGGGATCAAATCACTACCACTGAGGTAATGAAAGTCAGAGGGTTGGAAGTGGGTCGTTGAAGTGTGTGGAGTGTAATAACTCCATCACTTTGGCAAAAATTTCTGTTGTTTTTTGAATGTTGTTGATTTCCTTCTACTCGAACTATCTAATATTCGATAGCTATTTTCCGATGTGGTCAGCATTGTGTGGAGTAGGTGAACATAGCTAGAGTACACAACTACAATGTGAAGCAGCGCTCAGAGCAACGACAAGGAGCAGCTTCCTAGAGGTTAGGGGACGCGTTGAGGAAATGCAAGATTGCAAGACTCGTTGTATTGATTAGGTTGAAATGGTTGATGGAGAAAATGAGTCGTTTCTACTAGTGTGTGCTGATTGTTGAGATGGTAACTGTTTTGAGTTGGGGAAAAAATTCCGGGCTCGACCGTTTAAACTAGTGTTTGTCCGGCGGTTGGGATGGTTGGTTCTTGGGAGGATTGGGAAATGAGAGGTCAGGAGATAATGAGAGGATCCGGGAGGACAATCAAGCTACTGCGATGGAGTTTCATAACCCGTTTTACGTGAAGTGGCGTTAAACTCGGTGAAAAATGCGATATTCGCGCTATACAGTAGCTGTGAAATATGTTTTTCACTAGTGTTCGCGGGTGAAACTTGAATGATAATAAATCACGTCAACTCGATAGTGTTAAACACCTACAGGTCTTTCGGGTGCGACTTGGAACATTCGGTCGTTGAGGAGAACAAAGTTTTGAAGTTGGTTGGAAGTTTAACTAAAATTATGAGAGGTAGTCCAGATGTGAATAGCTCATTTGCGAGGGGGAATAGTCGTTCGAGGGTGTGTCGAATCACTCACATTGGACCGTCGGAATTTTGGTGATTTTGTGAAGGTGGGAGATGCTTTCATTTGGTAGAGTTGAGTTGTAACTCGTCGTAGTGGTCTATAGCAGTAGCAGGAGGATGTCGGGTAGTGAAGTAGTTAGATGTGGCTGGGTGGGGAAGTATACAGGAGCTGGCAGGGAGGACTATGTGAAGTAATGATTGCGTATGGAATTCTGGGGTAGTGGTAGAGCGTCTTGCTGTCTCTCGGGAGGTCGTTGGGTCTATCCTTGGGGGCATCATTCCATTATACCACACGTAACCATCAAGAGTGTAGTGCTGAATATTGAGTTGCTGCTCATCACAAGAATATTCCCACGCAATTCTCTAAGAGTGCTCTACCGCACTATGAATATTTTCTTTCCCGGTTACCTTTCTAGATACCACGATAACGAATGGGGGGTGCCCGTTGTGGCTGATGATCGCCTTATGTTTGAGATGATCTCGCTGGAGGGAGCGCAGGCTGGCCTCAGCTGGGCGACGATTTTGGCTAAGCGGAGCGGGTATAAGAAGTAATTATAAGGAGGATGGCGTTATGAAGGATGAAGGAATATATGGAAATGTTTAGTCTGGGAGGATGACCGTCGGAGTTTTGTAGTCCACAGCGATTCATCCGATTAGCAGAACTGATGTAATTACACATTGTGGAAGTGTAACATTGCCGATCTATGAGTACATGAGTACGACCTCTTTTTTTTCAAAGTGGTCGTATGTAGACATACACTTCCTATGTTAGAGCATTCAAGGACTTTGATATCGAGGCGCTTGTGCGGGCAACAGAAGAGGCTTCATCGATGGATGTGCTAGTTGATGCTGTACTTGACAGTGATTGTGATGTGGTGAGAAGTCGAAGAAAGATCGAGAGTGTGTATAGGAATGCGGAGGCGGCTAGAGCTGTTCGGGAGGAGTAGTAGCTGGGAGGAATCGATGGAGTTATATAATTCATCCACACACATTGATATGTATATATTTTATATAGTTACTTTATCGACGGCTCATTAGGGAGCGTCATGCGTTCTTTATAATATGAATGAGCGGTGTTCGAACTGTATAGTCCTAATATGATTGCACCACAT